TAGGGCATACCATCCACCATATTTTGATCTTCAGAAAGGCTTTGGATAAATTTCCCCATAAAATATTAATTTTTTATTGCAGCGAGTAGGCATTCAGGGAAAGCCTACTGGGTTTGGATTGAAAATAATTTATTAAAAAGAAAGGGCTAAGGGGGTGAAAACTCAAATTGGGTGATGTTATTACTGGAGTAACACAGGGATGTGTTCTAGGACCACTGCTGTTCCTATTAGATTCCAGAATAATAAGTAAACAGGCCATTTTTGTAATATAAGATAACACCAAATCAGGAGGATAAGTGAGCGCTGTAGAAGCAGCCGAAGAAATTCCAAAAGATTTATAGACAAGTGCAAGGTGTTGCATAAAGGGTAGTAAAAACAAATTGTAAATACAAAATGGGAAATTCTGAGCTAAAAGAAGATACTTATGAAAGATGTAGATGTTTATGTAAACACACCATTTACATCTTTGAGCCAATGTGGGGAAGCCATTGAAAAGGTAAACAAAACGCTAGCATACACCGTTAAAGGCCTGGACTTTAAATCAAGGGACCTCATGTTAAAGTTGCAATAATTCTCCAGTAAGGTCTCAATTTCAATACTGTGTACATTTCTTGCCTCCATGTTCTTTGCAATCAGTCCAGAGAAGAGTAACCCGATGTGTTTAAGGACATAAGGGAATATCCTACACTGAGAGGCTGAAGAAAGTGAACCTTTTTAGTGCTGAACAGAGAAGACGACAAGGGGATAAATATTATGAGACAAATATTAAACATCCTCAAAGAGACTGACAAAATCAATACAGAAGATTGCTTCAGAATTCACAGTGAAATATGAACTGGGGGCACAACTGGATCTGGAAACTATAGGATGCTGGAAACTGGTTAGGGGTGAGTAGTGCACTGCTGCGAGGCCGCAGGTGACTTGGAAAGAGCTCAGTGGCTGAGATGGGAGAAAATGTCAATGGGTGAACATCTCAAATCCAGCATTGGGATTACAACAAAGTATGTAAGTCATACTGGAAACTCGCAAAAGGTTTTGTGGTCACGTGATAAAACCTGGAACTTTTTGTTGTAAATTTCAATGACTGCATTTGAGACTATCACACAGTCCATCTCTCAATCAACACCATCGCCATTGTCAAGCAACTTTGTAGTTCTGTTCTCTTCAGCGAGGACTGGGATACTTGTCAAGAGTAATGGGAATGAAGATGGAGCAAAGAATCAGGATGTTTTAGAGGAAAACTAGCTTCAGATCTAAATCTGGGGCAGAAGTGTACCCTTCAGCAAGACAGTGATCCAAAGCAGAAGGCCAAAGCTACTCTGGAGTGGGTTAAGAATAGTAAAATGAATGTCCTTGGGTCGCCCAGCCCTGACTTGAATCCTATTGCGAATCTATGGACAGACTGGAAAACTGATGTCTATAAGTGATCCCCAAGCAGATTGAGAGACCTTTTGCAAGTCTGCCAAGACAAATGGGAAAACATTCACCAAGCCAGTGTGCAAGGTTGGGAGAGACCTTCACCTGAAAAAGACTTGCAGCTGTGACTGTAATTGCTTCCATTAAGTATCAAGTTTGTGTTTCTGAATGTTTATGCAATCAATGTATTTTAGTTCTTTCTCTTTAGCTTTTGTTGACATTTACTGTAACTTATCTTACATTCAGGTTCTGAATAAAATATTAGGTACAAAAAATGTGTATGTGATAAAATTCTAAATATAAAATTCTTTTGTAATATCACAAAGTGGGACACCGTAAGAAGGATATTAACACTTTTGAAAGGCAATGTATATAATACATTTATCCTAACATTTGTTTGGCTTCTCTGTATTGTTCAGAAGTTGCAAAATATGTGTCATTACAAGCCCTGCTTTTCATTGTATGTACTGTATATAGTTTCTCTACCTGCATATAAAACCTGGCACTATATTAAACATTATTTTCCAGCCCTGCTTAGTTATGAATTCTATCCAAAGATTTCTCAATGTCCTTGGAAGCTTCTGCACGTTTGCCAATCTATATTTGCTACCATTGATCCTTTTGCTACTAACCTCATGTGTAGCACTCACCCTGCACTCATCTGTATTGTTTTCTATCAATTAATCAGTTCTTAATCCAGCCACATACGTTTCCTTGAATTACGTTTTTTGCTTTATATTTTTTATAAGGGAATCTAAATTTCTGAAAACCTAAATATACCATATTGTATACTCTGTGTGTGTATACTGCTGTTGTTTGTTAATGATGTCTTCACAAGCAAGTTAAACAAGCTGTACATTTTCTAAACCCTCTGTCAGTCTGTTCTCTCGAATCTTGTTTCCAGAAATGATCCAGTACTTCAGCTGTAATTATTGTTTTCATAACATTACAGGTAATAGAAATACTGTAAGATTCTTTGGTCTATAATTTCTTTTTTAGTTACGCCACCCTTTCAGTTTTATGGATGGGCTCTGCATTAGCAAATTTTCATTGACTCAGTATTATCCTTGTTTTGGAGTTAGTTAATAGCCTATGAATAACATGTCTTGTTTCTTTAGCTACAGTTCATAGCATGCCATTAGGCCTTGGAGATTTTTTTTTTCTTTTTCTGACTTTGTTAGACATACAGTATGACAGTTTGGGTTGCATTGCATATAATCAATAAAATCCAGAACTATATTTCAGTTTAAAGTTATATATTGCCAATAGGGAGTAAATTACCTCACTAAGAAAATGAATAGACTGTGACGCAGCAGAGGAAACTGGAGTAATAAGCTTGGCTCAGACTGGTGAGGGCGGTGAGTAAACATAGAGAAACAAATGTGTGCATGCTACCAGTGACAGAGAAATCAGCAGTACTATAAAACAGAAATTAAGAGTTAGCAGTTACGCCTAAATAACAGTCAAGTGATTTGCCTATAGACTCAAGCATCAGTCTAAAAAATGGACCGGACAGGATTTGCTGGAAATTTAAAATATTACATATTTAGACAAAATCTAGGCAAGATTATACCAGCTTGTTCAAAGACACTGGTAATGCCTCTTCTATCCAGACAGGGAAATTGCAACAGCCCAAAGGCTTGTTCAAGGAGTGTTTAAAGATTAATGGTCATGTCTTGACCTCAGGCTAAACTGGATTTGCCAGTGGATTAATACAGAAAAAATCATATCAAAAAGGGGAAGTGTAATTATGAAGGTAAAGAAACAAAACACAGGCGGTTGGGGGAAAAACATCATGTTGGTCTGACCATAACGTCACTGATCACGTCCCTGTGTATGCAGGTCCTTCAAATACATACTTCATAGGTGGACCTTCTACACTACATACAGTATAGCCGAACAATCCATTCATATCTTCCTGGCTGTGCTAAAGTTTATTACCAAAAGACTCACAGACCACATAACTGAAGTACTGTATCTGTCATATCTGATGTGTCACATGCTCACAGATTTCGAGAACAGGTATTATGGGTCTAAAGGTATTTAACATATTGCTGTGGTCTCCTCCAAAGAAGTCTGTTAGAGTGCTTTGACTGGCTAAGAGACCATACAGTATCGGCACTATAAAATAAGTTGAATCTGATGTGGTTAAAGCAGTATGGGCTCTTAGTGCAGATTCTGGAAGTAAGCTGCTCACCGAGCACACATACAAGACTACAGAATTCTTGTTTTTTCAGTTTCCAAGACACTCTGTTCTGGTTGCGCAGTCAGTTGCAGAAACCTTGAGGGTGATGAACACTAGCCTTGTTTGTATACTTAAGTTATTATTGTCAGTCTTGAATCAAAATCTCATCTATGCTTTGCGTGGCAGAGATTCTGTGTTTTTCTTATATCCCTGGGTTGAAGCAGAAACAGAAAACCGAACTGTATTCCTGCATGCCCTTGACCCACGATGTTTTATTCCCTTGCTCTCTGGGAGGCATACAAATCATCTGGGAACAGATATATTAGAGACAATGGTAGTGTTGTTTATTCTACATCTGCACACTTTTCTCTACACTTGAGAAGTTCGTGTTACAATGTTCTCCAGTCTAATATTATACACAAGTAGTTCTGTATCAGCCACAAGCCATGAGTACAAGATTATTGGGAATCATTATAGTAATAAAACACAGTTAAACTAAGATCTAATAATAAAAACATGAAGAAGCAATACATTATAAAAAAGATCAGCGCAAAGTGTAACCTGTTAACTAAGAAGATATTAAAGTCCCAAAACTAATCATGGTAATTAGATCCTTAGGGAGCAAGAGGATGTGTAGTGCAAAACTGCAAAGTCTAAAATAATTAAGGTAGTTCTGGGGAGGCTAAGTGCAAATCTTATGAGGTACAAGGCCAGAACAGTGCAGTTACTGGTTCCAGGTTTCATTTTGATTGCTCTGCTTTTATGTCATTTGTTCTCATTAAGTCAGTTTTGCTCAAAATAAAAAAAAAATATTTAAAGGAAAACACTAACGCCTTTTTCAGTAATTTGTCAGAATTTAGGATAAAAAACATCAACAATTTGAGACTCATGCACTCGTTTGCTTATGTTCCAACGTGATTGGGTTCAAATCTCTCCATTACTCACAAAAATGCGCATCTTCATTTCATGCATTTTGTCAGTGATCCTTTCCGATTACAATATCTTTAGTCATGAAGTACATTAGATATACAATTTTACTAGAAAGAATATTATACCTTTGAGGTTAATATTTTTAGAAATGTTTGACTACTTTAATAAAATGAACTTGCTTTTACATACAGCGCTTTGTGTATAGTTACAGTATATACATTATACTTTGACTTTAGATATCAAACTGAGAAGAGAGGAAGAAGATGTTTTAATATTATTCTCTCATACTATGTTAAATCACCAGTTCATAAGTTCATTTTCCATCAATTTTCGAGTGTGCAGTTTGGATGGTAAACACACTATGCACATGCAGTTATTGACTTGTTTCCATTCTCTCGTCCTATCTTTTCCTTCGTCCCTCTGGAATACCTTCCATCAAAAAGCAAATGACAGAGCAGTAATAGATTACCTCTTCGTGTGTGGACTCCAGATGGGCTCAGATCCCTAAACCACCAATGGGGTTCGGTCAAAATGGCAGTGCTGCAAAGAGAGGATCAATACGTTATTTCTTCTTTTGATTGCTTAGCAGGCTTATTACATCTCCCCATTTTCTTTGCATTACACTGGTGTGTTGAATGCTCCGGCTCATCATTTGACTAAGATGACACAGATGCACTGCACATTATGACAGATTAGAGAAATTAAAGCGCCTTGCAGAAGGTCAAATTGTAGCGCTAAGGAATCTATAGCAGATGTATAGCAAGAGATGGTGCTGTCTTAAACTGTGCACATTTACCAACTGACGATACTGACTTCAAACAATATATGCTGTTGGAAACAAGTCCAGAAAGTAATTGTTTTGCTTTTGAGGAATCCTCTTTTTAAAAACCACAGCACTCTACAGCACTGTACACCTTTATAAAGGCATTAACAAATAAAGAGAGTGTGCTGCCCTTTGTGGTAATTAATCGGATGCACATGGCACAGAGTGGAAAAGTGAAGGGCCCTTCTTGTCGCCTTGCATCGTTCAGCAGCTACAGTAGTATCACAAACAGCTGGACTGAAATGATTTCTGTGCCCATAAAAGAATAACCTTTAGGGTTGCAATGAGAGGAATTAGTCTCTATGTTTTTCTTCCCTATCACTTCTTTGCACCTCTTTGATTTGGAGACTTAAATACATTTTAAATAAAAACTAGTGCAGTCTAGCTAGCATACGCATTCAGTGGATGCCTTGTCTTGCCATGAATTTTAATAGTCACAGTAAATTGATCACAGTAGCAGACATGAGTATGAAATGTTTGAAACCAACTTTGTTACTTCTTATCTTTTTTTTTGGCTCCCAACCAAGAGATTTCCCATACTGGTGTGATTGCACTCATCTTTATACTACCATCTTTCCTTTCTTCCGTAATGAAGACTTTGCAAAGTAATTTCAGGGCTAGCCATTTTTTCTATTATCTTATTATCATAAATGTACCACAAATCAATATTTTATTATGTGGACAGGTTCATATGCCTTGAAGATCACATCCAAGGAGAGTAATTGGATTATGCTTACATAGCTGCATAGTTATTTAAATGCCCCGGCTGAGATATTCAGACAGATCAACCTGTAGAATTGTGGTCTCTATACAAGAAACATAATGAAAAGTGAAAAGAGATAATGTTTTCATTTTATGGAAAAACTACGTCAAAGAACATAAAAATAACTTTTCTAAGAAAAGGGGTATTATTGTTATTGTGCCAAGTAAGTTGTTTCCACCCAAACATTTGGTAATTCTGGAATATAATTATAAACTGTAGAATTATACAGTAAGTACTTCAAATGCAATCTGTTTTAGATTCTGATATGCTACTAAATGAAGTTCAATGCCTCAATGCTATTGACAAGCAGATACATCAGGGTGTGTTGTCATTTTCTTCAATTGAGTCAACCTTCATTCATGCAGTAAGTGTTCTCTGAGGCATTTTGCTCAGTACAACCAATGCTTCCAACCTGCAAATTTCATATCATTTCTAGCCACTGAGCTTACTCATGGTTTCCTTTTTTAAATGCTTCTTTCTTTAAGTCTTAGCTAAGAATAACTGTATTATTATAGTGAGCCAAATGCTGTAATGGCTAACTGTATTTCTTTTGCTGTCTTTACAATCAGGGGAATTAGCTCTTCAGTGAAAAGATATTCCAGTGTTATGTTTTCTTCTTTTTGCTGCTTAGAAGAGTGGATATGAACAGTGTTCAGAACACATACTTATTCAATATTGATTAAAGAACAAGACAAAACCAACACCAATTGCAGGTGGGTAGGCAACGTCCTAGGCAAACAATTGATGACTTTTTAAATGCAATGCTTTGGTGTGATATATAATATATCCATTAGAGCCTCCCAAGAAGCATTTGGCTGATGCTTTAATATAAGGTTACCTGTCACATGTAGTTTGCATGAAAATAAATTGCCAGAGAGAAGCCACTGCAATCCGTAAATATAATATTACATACACAGGGTTGGCTTTTTATTCATCCAGTTACTACAGGGATAAAAGACTTTTCATAATCAAGTGCTGTGCAGCACTGGACTGTTATGTTGTTTATCTGAGATGATTAGTACAAAATTTACAACGACAACATATGTTTTTCCTGGTGCTTTAGCGTTGGGACATTTTTATGCTGTGCAACAATTTACAGCTAGTGTTTTAGTGCTTTGGTTTGATGGTATAGTTTATTACAGCACCATTTGGTGAAAGGAGTAATGCTTTAGAATGTGGAAATAGGTCTTAGATAAGATTTATCACAATTACAGACTAAATGTGTAACTGAGGCATTTATTAATAATTTCCCATGTTTAGTATCAGTATTAACAATATAGAACTAATACAACTGCATGTATTGTACTTGCACAGATTTGTATCACATGTTAATAGCAAGAAAACTGTCACAGAAACCATGCCTATCGCTACACAGTAAAAGGGTTTGAAGGTCAAGACTGCTTTAGAAACTGTGTCAAAGTAGCAGAAAAAGATACAACAAGGTAAGTGATTTTTCAATTGATAGAGTGGAAGATACAGAAATAATTGAATTAACAGCTCTCCTTTATCTGTGTTGAACTTGTTACTTTGCAAATGTACATCAGCTATGAGGTTATAGGAAACAATGTTATCAAATCGCACATTGGCAGCAGAGTAAAGTTTGATCACATTTGATCTTGCCCTCACACACTGTAAGCCACACTTTCAGAGTCAACTTTCTTTAAACCCATTAACTATTTCACGCAAATGTAGTTGTTTACACCAGTCTTATAGACTCAATCAATATTCTGGATGTGGTACCTTATAACATTCAGTACATGTGTGTAGTAATTTGCTCATTAATACATGTACAAAATGTATACGATAGAAGTACATTTCATTCGCAATGTTGAGTTTGATATCAGCTACAACACACATTCTATAGTGTAGTGTGCTCTATGAAAGTGGGGTAAACATGCAAAATAGTAGTTCACATTACAGCTAGGTTTTCTGCAATACATACATATGGTAAAAGTGGGCTTTTGACTCAAAACAGTAAATAGACCTTCTTGTTCATAGAGTTTTGGCTAATTGCTCTCCTTCTGCAGTAATTTTTAATGACTTCCCAATAAGAGCATTGGAGAATTTGTAGCATCCATCTAGAGTGTCCAAGTGATTAATCGTAGCAATTCAGTGAAGTCCTTTAGGTATTAGCATGTTGATCCTTCCATTTTTGTTCATTTGGGGGACTTGTGCAATGAGGTCAAGGCACGGAGCGATTCATTGTAGTTGGGGAACAAGGTTTGATTTAAGCCAGTGTTTTTTTGCCTTTTAAAAAATGTCACCTCTTTTCATCAAACATTTTGTTGCGCATCAGGGAAAAAAAAAGTTTTGGGTGGATGTATAATGAACACTGCAACCCACTGCAAAGCTTGTTAAAATTAAGTGACCTTTCGGTTGATGATGGATTACACTGTAATAAAGTTGGACACAACACATTGTAGTATGCCTTGTAAACAAAACAAAAAAATCCCCGTGATTAAAATGAAGCAAAGAAAGATGTTTCACACGCAATGAAAGTATGAAAAAAGTTTTACTTCAAATACAGATCCAGCCATTCAAAATGCCTACATGAGAGAAATGTTTACATTTGAGTACTGACATTCTAAAATTGCCTTTAATTTCAAACTGTGGCGGTTTACCTTGAAGGAAACAATGGGGTCATCACTAAAGACCACCTTAGACAAGATGGAACCATAGTTGATACAATTTTTCTGTGTTTTTTATTTTAAATTGTGAGATTAATAGAACATGGATAAGCACCTGGGTGTTAATTAATGTTAAAAACACTATCAGCCAGGATCTTACCTGAAGTATTCAAAGAGGAGACAAGGGCAGTAGTAAGACCTGGTCCTGGAAGTTAGATGACTTGTAATTGTGGATTTTTATAGGTCAACTGCAGCTAAAGATTAGGAACACCTGGGAGTTATTGATCAAGCAAATAATCTATTCAATTAAGAGAACTTTGATCCTTGAAAGCTGAAGGGCACACAGATTTGGTCCCAAGTATTCTCTAAATTACTTCATATTAGGAAACCACCTGCTTAATTAATTCCAATTAAGTTGTTTCTTTGTTATTTTGTCAGTTATTTTGAAATCAGTGCTTTAATAGTGCTTTGGAAAATGGAGAAAGACTCTTCAGGGCCGGGACTTGAGACCCATGACAGGGAGAGGGAGTTAGAAGATTTTTTTATTTCATTTATTATGCTTGTGTAAACAATCTGAACTGTGAAACAGGGAGTCTTTAATTCCCATCTTAGGCTTGCTTCCTAAAGGGACCAAGTTCCAAACTTCCACAGGTCTTTCAAACAAAATTGGGAAAGTTGCTTGCAAAAAAGTAAATCTGACATTATTCTAAAATATTATCCAACACCCGTTTCTAGCAAGGTTTAGATTGTATGAAATAATTTTATACTTAGTGTAGCCGATAGGTACAGTGCCTCAACATTCAAGCATTAAAAAGTTCAAGCATTAATAAAAAATAATTATGGCCAACTATTGCCGTCTCGTAGTGCTGGGGCCCTGGGTTCAATTCCTGGCCTGGGGGTGCTGTCTGTGTGGAGTCTGTATGTTCTCCCTGTGTTCGTGTGGGTTTCCTTTGGGTGCTCTGGTTTTCTCCCACAGTCCAAATACATGCTGGTGGGTTCATTGGCTTCTGTGAAAATTGACCCTACTTTGAGTGGGTGCACGTTTGCGTCTGTGTGGGTCCTGCGATGGATGCATCCTGTCCAGGGTGAATCCTATTCCCAAGATAGGCTCCAGCTTCCCCATGAGCCTGTATCGGATGACGTGATGAGAAATCGGATGGAGGGAAAATCTATTTGTATCATATTTTCTATACTGGATGGATGGATGACGTAAACTCTGAAAAGGGGGGCAAAGAATGCCTTGTTAGTCTTAAAAAAGTTTGAATTGAAATAATTATGCCATTGTTGAAATTTCATGTTTGCGTGCAGTAGTGTATAATTCTGTTTA